TCTTTTCTGTCACTTAAATATAATTTTGTGGAGAAGAGATTTAGAAATTGTTTGAGAACTTAGGTATCCTTTTGATTTGCAGGAGAAAGAGACTTTAAGGAGATAAGCCCTTCTGAACATGTAAATCCGTACTTCCTGTATGTCAAGTATATATAAACTTGCCATATAGCTGAGGGTTAAAAATGAAAAAGAGTCAGAGCTTGACCCTGATGTCTACTGTGTCACCTTATATGTATGAGATGTGTCCTCAAGCAAACTAAATAACATTTTGAACTGTGACCAAACCACAAGATAAATTAATAGACTATACATTTTGGACTGTCCTCTATGGCCTCTAAGCCTTCTACATCAGTCAGGACAAAATCTAACATTCATCATTGACTGTCTCCAAAATTAACTTTCATAATAATGTTTCCTCTCTTTTCTGTCCAAAACTGTTACAGAGTCTGGGGTATACAAAAATTTGAGCTAAAGAAAGAATTCCGGCTGAGGTTAATAATAGTATTGTTTTATATAAGGAGGTTTTATATTAGGATTTAGTGTCCCTGACACCAGACTTTTAGATTAATGGGAAAGTAAAATTCCTAGTGTAAACCCAATACTTGTTTTTTACATTGATGATATTTAAGGTTTATGTAATTCTTGAGGTAATTATAACAAATATTTAATACTAAATAATTGTGTTGCTTTACTGAGAAATATAATATGAAGCGTTGCTTATGCAGGGAAGAGCAGAAATATTGTACAGAAAAGAATGGAGTAACCTTTAGGACTGGAGCACTGGGTGAAATTTGCATTTAAAGATGAGGAAATGTCTGATTCCAGTGATGTGTTTTCCCTTTGATGTGAAGACAAGTGAAGGGAGCTGCCTGATGGTCTTGGTTGATGACAGTGAGCCAGCAGTGTGATTTAGCTCTCATGAAGGCAAGCATGTCTTCAGTATTCCAGGACAAGCAAAAGTATTGATGCTTTTGCAAAAGGCAGTGCTAAACTTTGGAGTCCCAGGTGGAAAAATGAACACGTGTCTGGAGGATGGGCTTGTCCTCCCCAAAGAACTTGGGCAAGTACAGTTAATTTTTCCAAGAGACGAAACTTGAAGAGTTTGTAGATGTATTCTATAAATGCATTATGGATGTAAAATTCAACATAGAAAAGGGAAGACATTTAATCTGAAAGTCAGTGGTGACATAAGAAACTACAAAATAGCTGTAGGTAAATTCAAGATAGAAATTAAAGGCATTTTTCCTACATCACTGATCTTAGTCTTGTCCTATGCTATTACAAATGCTGGTTTAAAAACAGGCACAGTTTTGCCTCTGCTTTCTACCTCCTGTTAGAAAGCTTTCAGCACCCAAATGAGTTGGACTCTGGAACTGCTGTCCACAAAATGAAGTGTAAGTAAAAGGCCCAGGTCTTTTACAGAGGAAGTTGTGTCCACAAATAGGATTGTGTGATGTAGTTAGCTCTGACCACACTGAACTGCTTCATAACCTGCTGATCTGTACAAGTGCTGTGCCCTTTCCTATTTTTGTTACTCCCTTGAATTCCAATATATCTGTTGTTCTCCCTGACTAGGTTACTCTTTTAAGTCTGTTTTTGAAAATTCCTGATAATGAATGATGGCCACATTCCTTTTTTGTGTTTATCTCTTTGCTTGAATGTGGCAACAGAGAATTAGCATAAATGGTCTGAGGAAAGTAGTTAATATAGATTAATTTGTATTCTTCTTTAATCCTTTGAATTTATCGCCTTGAAGATACATCAAAGATGAGTTTGGTTCATAAATATGTTCAGAAGATGAATACAGTAGGGGGAAAGAATCCTGTTTTATGGTATTTTTGAAACTCAGAAATAAATCCTTTATAATCAGTAATTGACCTATATGATATGTTTTTTCCAGTTTGTTTCAGATCCTTGTGCCAGCAACCCCTGTCACCATGGTAACTGCAGCACCAGCGGGGATGGCTACCTCTGTCTCTGCAGTGAAGGCTTTGAGGGAACAAACTGTGAACGCTCACTGCACAGCCTTGCAGCCTCTGAACGGACAGAGGCCACCTCACCCCAGCACAGCAGCCTGGCCTCGTCCACCCTGGAGCCTGACATTGCTCTGCCCCGCTCAAGAGCCACTGTGACGTTGCCTACATGGCAGCCAAAGGCAGGACAGAGAGTTGTGGACCTCAAATGGGATGAAATAGAGGTGAGAGTATTCTGTCAAAGTGAAAATTCACAGACAAAAAGACTTTAAAGTGTTATTTTTGTGTTGGCATTTGTGCATGGTTTCATGATGTCCTCATGAGATGACTGAAGATATGATCTCTGCCCTGAGTTAATATGCTGGTAAAATTAAACAAACCCCATCTGATCCATGTTATGAGTTAATGGACTCAACAATGGACTTAAGTTGGCTAATGTGCTGTATTAGATACTTCTTTGAAATGGGATAATATTGTTTCTTCAGTCAGTTGTGTGACACTTTATCTCCAAACATCAAATAAATTTAGAAAATTCTAAAAGTTAAAGCAATACCTTTAATTTTTGGTATTTGCCGTTATAATCACTTTTTGCTACGTGTTCCTGCATTATTACGAAAACAGTTACTTGAGGATTAAGTTTTAATTAATACATTGCACAGGGCACAACTCTAGGGATGCAATGACAAGGGTGGAAACTTTTAAATGTTTAAATTTTAAACATTTGTTGTAACTGTTACAAACAAATCTCTGTCAGAACCAAACAAATCTCTGTCAGAACTTAACAATGTCTGGTAAAACTACAGCTGGAAAGCACAGAACATATGATCCCTATGAAATGTGACCTTTGCTTTACACTATGCTGTACTCTGCCCTATTTGTTATGCTTAAATATTTTGCATTGACTCAAGTATCTGCAAAAGTTAAAAAAAACAACTATCAAACTTAACCAAGTTCTTTTTAAAATAATGATCAGTTTAATATCAAGTGCTAGGAATGATGAAACTTGTTGCTGAAAAAATATTTTAATTTCTGTCGGCAAAGAATTAGAATATTTGTGACATCTTTTTCTTATGGAGGAGGCCTTGTAATATAATTTTATTTCAGTTTATTCATGAATAAATATGTAAAATGCCAGTTGTATCTTTTTTTGAAATGTTTTGAATGAGAATTTGATTCTCTTGAGGTGTTTTAACATACTACATAATGAGAAAGTGAGCAGGTAGGAGTTTAATCCTGGAATAAGTCTATTTTTCATCACTCTTTGCTAGCCCAAATGAGTTTGTTGATATTTCCACTGTAAAATTTACTTAATCAGTTTTCTGAAAGTAGAATCAGCCTATGTAAAATATATGTTTGGTGTGTTACAACACTCTGATTTTAGCTGAGGTGTAAGTATTTACAGGGCTTTATTCCATTTCAGTGGGAGTGCTGGTGGGCAATGTCTGGAGCATAAAGCTTTATTTCCTGGAATTCCATCTCCCATATCTCTTATTTTACAATAGAACATATGTCAGGCACCAAGGATGGAGTTTGGAGAGAGCACTGAAGCAGAAACAAACTATATTCTGCTCTTATTACTTAGTTTAAATGCAGTCTCATCTCTGCATGGGTGGTCCATATGTCCTGATCAATTAAGGGCATGCTCTTCCCTGTACCAGATTTCCCTGGTGTGTCTTCCTCAATCTGTGGTCTGGTGCTGTATAAGGAACATTTCTGCCTGGTTTGCATTTTAGGTAGATGCAGTAAGAATTTCAGTCAAACAGATCATTCACAAGTGGATATTTCAAGAGCTGAAATTCACCCTTCTGTGTGTCTTCTGTTACCTGAGAAATACAGATAGGTTATCAATTGCTATTGCATGACTAATGCTAGCATGGGAAATTCTTGCTATCCTATTACAAAATTGCTTGAGTTGATATGTTTTTAATATACTGTGATGGGTCTTGTATTTTTGACAAGTTCTCCAGTGCAGCATAATGACCTTCTACCTTGTTCTTTGGCAGTCACAGTGAGAGAGATAATTATCTGAAACAAGGAGATTTCAGTTGCTGATTCAAGACATTGTATCTGATCTATATTAACTAAGGAGAGTTGATTTGCCTGAAGGTCTGTGCTCCAAAGCCTCTTCCGTGGAGGTTTCAAAAGTGAAACACGTTAATAACAAAAAAACACTACTTTTCCTTGTAGTTGTAAGAATTTTGCGAAACTTGATCCTTCTTTGCTCTTTTAAAAGGAAGAGAATAAAGTAGCTGTAGGTTTTGTATTGCAAAAATGCACTGTTTTGATCTTTGTTGCAATTCAGAAGACAACAAATACCAATATGTTGTTGATTGTTTTTTATAAATCTTACAAGACAGTCCATTTTACAAATTATTCTATACTCATATTGGAAGTGAATTGATATCAGATCCATTAGTCTCAGAAAGAAATTTTGCCAGACTCTTTCCAAATGGAAGCTCTCACTATCTTGCAAGGATGAAGTTTCCATGAAAGCTTTTCTGGGAGATTTTAGGAACCCAAAGAACGAACACCTGAAAGAAGTAAGCTGTCTAGGAGAGGCACGATGTGTGCTTACAGTTGGACAGGTTTTCTGTATTCCTTGGATACCAGGGATACATTTAGCACTGCTTGCTGGAATGAACTGTATCTGTAGTGTCTGTACCACTAGGTAACATACATGTCTTTGGATCCAGTTTCATTTCTTAGAGTGGTCTTCATATAAGAAATTAATATTTTCTTGATGTGCATATTAAGGACTAAAACCACAGGTAATAAGCAAGAATATTTTCTCTCAGTTGATTTTCTCTAGTATAATACAAGTTTATCTTTGTGCTCATCCATTGAAAAATAATTATTTTTCCCACTTGAGGCAACCGGTTCCCTTTGTAAGAGAGATTCAACTAACAATCCACATTTCCCCAGTTCAATCATCTTTTGTGTTACAGTGTATAAGAGATATTAGCCAGTAATGGAGGGAAAAAGAAACCATCTCATTAATCCTACTCAATTAATGGATTTAACAAAGACAGCTTTTCATAATAGACCTGAAATTCTTTTCAAAGGAAATCAGCTGTATTATTCCCATTTTACAGACTGAGATGCTGAAGCACAGAGCAGTAAAGTGATTTGCCAGGTGCACAGCCAGAAATTAGAATGCTGAGCATGTGAGTTCTAGTCTAACCTTCTATTTATACAACAATTTTGTGCTCAGATTCAAGGGTTTGGAACTAATGATTAGAGGCTACAATAAACTTCTAATTCCCCTTGCAGTGGGGACAGCATTTGTTTTACGCATGTCCTTAGTCAGTAAATTGCAAGACTTTAAATGGAGAGGGGCTGAATCAGGTGTAAAATCCTGAAAGAGTTCCTGCTCTGCAGTGATGGCAGAATGGAATTATTCCCTAAGAATAATTCTTGAAACAGGAACCTTTAACTCTTGACTACTTTGTGTGTTGCTAAATGTTTGTGCATTTTTTGTGTCAAAGTATGGTATGGGTGCAGAAGGAGGAACAGAACAGAGTCTGAACAAAAGCAGAGGAGAGATCCATTTGAGATTGCTAAATACAGAATAGAAACTTGATCCTTAGAAATGGCATTTTAGGAAAATCTTTGACATGGAAATGGAAGAAGGTTGGACTATATGTGCTTGCCCTTTTCTTACCCTATTTTCTTGGCATTTCCTGTTGTGATAGCTGTTAAAGTGCTGGAATGTGTGTAATTTTGGTTTGAATTAGGACAGCTCTTCTAGCTGTATATAAGATTTGTTTAGGAAATCTCTATAATTTTTCTTTTACTCTGAGAAAAAGATATTTTACAGGAGAATGAAGGAAGCAGATTTTGGTAGAATAATATTAGCTTTCTTCTAGGACAAATCTGTAACTTCACTAACTCTCTCCTCTATAATATTAGTTTATGGAACTTTTTGTTTATATACAAACACCATCTTCATAGAGAATTTGATGTAAGCATCTCTGGATAGGTGCTACTCTTTTTATATTTATTTTGTAAATTAAACCATACCTCTAAAAGCTCAATATGCTTAAACAGAACTTATGTGAAGTTTATATAAACCTCAGTTTATTATGTTATATTACTAAATCATGTTTAATAGATAGTCATAAGTACTATGTTTCCTAAAATCAAAGCTCTTTAAGACAGAAATTCTAGTGAGTACAATTACACTGAGATATTGAAGGTCTTCTCTTCTGAAGCTATATTGGTGGGTGTGCTCAGGATTTTTGGTTATTCAGAGCTGTTTTTGAAGAGTCTGGATTCATTTACCCACTCCTTCAGGAATCATCCTATTCTGAAGTCCTAGAAAGTATGAGGGAAAAAGAGGGGGGCAAAAAAGAGAAAAGCCTGATGTGTTTACTGCCTTTCAGTGTAGAAATATCTATAGCTGACTTGACAGTCTTAGGTTGAAATTTGTGTCCCAGCTTACCCTCCAGTGACCTGAGCTCACTCACTGCATGCAAAAATGTGACTATGTGGAATTTTTTCTCAATGAACTTGTTTACATACAGTTTACCATTATTTTTAGAGCAGTTCCATGCACTCTGGAAAAATAAATGGCTATTAATTGTTCATGGAGGTAAGGAGAAACCTGAACAAAACAAGTAATGCAAAAAGCCCAAATTACTCACCACCAAGTAACAGATTCCCAGACATTCTCTGAGCAACAGCAGCTCTGGCCAACTTCCAACCCCCACTCCCAGTTTTACTGCTGAGCATGACCTCCTGTGGTGTGAGGATGTCCCTTTGGTGAGTTGGGATCAGCTGTCCCACTGTGTTCTCTCAGCACTCCTGGCCTTCTTGCCAGTAGGGCACTCTAAGAAAGAGAAAAGGACTGGCTGCTGTGTGAACACTTCAGTGATAACTAAAATAACTTATCAAGCCCGTGTTCATCACAAGTCCAAAACATAGCACCATGCAAGCTATTGTGAAGAAAATTAACCCCATACCACCCAAAACCAGTACAGACTGCATGTCAGATTTTATGAAGCTGACAGTGAATTTGGTGGATGGCTTTAGATGAAAAGGCAGCTTACTGATAAAATAATCTAGGTAATCTATCTGTCATTGTGTAAGAGGGCCTCCTGTGGCTGCTGATGCATCTGTCTCTTGGTGTGATGTTGGCATTGATGTGACAGAAAAACAAAGTTTTAATAATGTTACCTGGAGGATTGCCGTGCACTGGAATGCGCTGGATCCTCTTGGTGCTGTGGATGCTGACTCTACAAAGTGACTCTTGCTCAGATGTGCAAAGAAACAGACTGCCAGCAACGGAATTTGCTGGGTGGATATGCAGCCTTCCTTACACCAGGTTTCAGTGCTATGATAACTGGTAAGCCTTCTTCATCTGATACTGTTTTTGGATGCAGTCTGTCAGTCTCCCCCTGGTGTTCTTCAGAGAGGCACTACTCCTACTCTAAACACTTTTGCTTTACTCTCCCACTGGTGAGATATGTTAGAAGTAAACCTTGATTTTCTTTCTGTTCCTGTTTTCTTTCAAGCATTGTCCCATCTGAAAAGAAACAAGCGCAGTGATGTGGAGGTTAAGCTAAATGACACCAGATTTGTCAGAAGCAGTAGTTTTTCTGTGCTACAGGGCAAGGGTACTGGAACTGCTTTTTCTTTTTTTTCCCTTTTAGAATTTTGTTCTGAGTTCAATTTCTGTGCTAGAAATGATCCTGCTTTGTTGCTTGACATTTTGACAATAAGTAGATAGTATTAGATCCCTCTCTTATGATTCTATTCTGTGTCCTTTTATTTTCCTACTTCTCTTTCCACTTTTTATTTGCCGACAGCTGTCCAAAATCTATAGTTAGATTTTATAGTTTTTATCTAACCTGTTTTATTTCTTTCATATATTGTTTTCCCCTTGCATAAGGAAGACTGCCAAACATGTTTTATTTCTTAGAAAATAAAGGATACCTCTTGCCACACATACAGGGTCAGAAGATAATAAATCCTGCTGGCCCTATTCTGATACAAAAGTAGTTATATGTTCAGAAAAGCCAGAATTGCACATTATGAAACTTGCTTTATTGAACTGAAATTTAATATGAAATCCCTTGGAAGAAAATCTGAAAGAACTAGCATTTACAAGACCATTCCTCATACTGCATTTGTCATGACAGTTTCTGTCCTAGTGAAGAACTGAAAGGTTCTTTTTTAATTACCATGCCAGTTTTCATGGGGTACCACCCCAGAAAACAGCCTTGCTTTTCTCAAAAAACTCGTTTTCTCACTCCTTCCATAACATCTTTTCAAATATGTTTAAAATTTTAGTAGCTGTTGGGTTTGTTTGTTTTTTTTTTTACTTTTAAGCACTGATCTTCGCTGTAGGATAAGTTTGTATCCATCTTTTTCATTTAGTTCAAGAATTATGTACGCATTCATATATTCTGTTTAATTCCAGACTAATTTGCCCCACTTTGCTCTGGGTGCAAGACCATGCAAATTTGTCTGTTGCCCCACTAGAAGGTAAAAACAGGAGAACAGCTTTTTGAGATGAAAAAAAGCACTTTCACTCTGTGCTGGAGTGGGGTTTAGTGAAAGCTGTGGTGTCACTGAAGTTACAATGGCAATTAGCAGGAAAGACTTAAGCAACTGGCTCATGGGGTGAATTTTCACTGACAGCATCACTGTGTAGGTGAGGTTCAAGGCACCTCTGGATTTTTTCTAATAAACACCTTTGCTCCAAGCCCGTTCCTCAGGAGTTTATTCAGCTGAGATTTAAATAACTCAAAGGATGGAAAGTCCACAAGCTACCTAGGCAACTTCCTTCACTGTTTGGAACTATCTGTTGGTTTTCAGAATTATTTATTAATACCTCATTGATAGTGTAGTGTGGACTTTCTAAGGCACATATGAATTTGGCTATTCTACTTACAGACCACTTTTAAATTTGAGGAAAGTGTGGCATATTTTGAAAGAAGTAAAAGCCTTCTGCCATTCTGTGAATTTGGAGTTGATATACCAAAGAAATGCAAACACATCCTGGCAGCAGAATGGCTGCATTTTGCACTGTCAGGATTAGTCTGCCTGTGTTGATAAGACCTTGTAGAATTACAAATGTCTGCTCAACTTTTCAAGAAATCTACTATGAAATTTCATATACAATAGCTATCTTCAGAGAACTAATTTCAGCACTGAGAGGCTGCATAGATATAGAGTCTGTATGCTCGTCTTCTTAGCCTTATTGAATTAAAGTCTAGTACACTTAGGAAAGTAATAAAGGCACTCACTCATGTAAGAATATTGCCTTGGGATTTATGTATGTATTTCAGCACTTGTTGAATTAAGTGTATATCTCATTATTCTGGTTTTGTAAGGCATGAGACTATCTGTCTTACCCATGCTATTTAATTTCTTCAGGAAAGTTGTAATATGGAAGAACAGTCTGTTGCTCTCTTAGGTACCAGCCCTGATTTTCTTTGCAATCTTTTCTATACCACTGCCATGGCCTGGTAACCAAGTCTGACAAAATCACTACTGTCTTGTTAAGGCCCAGGTAGAGATTGTAGGAGTAAGAGCTCTCAAGATTTCACTCTTGCTTTCTCAAATTATGCTGCTCTTTTACCTATGTAAAGTCTAAAAGCATTTCAAGCAAAAATATAGGTTTTATATGTTATCTTTTACGAAAAGTATAACATGATTTAGATGCAAACTTATAGAACATTTATGTAAAGAAGAATTCTGTGTTTATTGTCAATAATTTGATATTTAATAATTTTAATTATCTGAATAAGGTATTGAAAACCAGTCTTGGATGTATTCTCTGTTGACACAGGAGCTTATGTTTATAATCAGCTCCTAAACATACATACTGACTCTGGAGGGTGCATGAAGGTTTTGTTTTCTTTGGTGACTATTTTTAAATAGCTGCATCATTTGTGTAAATGTTTATAAGTCTGTTCCCCAAGAACCTTCTTAGTGTCCTGACATTTCTGTACTATTAAATGCTTCAGGAGAAGTGTTGTATGGCATTGCAGTTATGTTATGTTCTCTTTTTATTGTCTTTAAATGACATTAGATACCTACTCTATTTGTATTTTTAAATTTAACTTTAGACTAGGAATGATCTTTATTTTATCCTGAAAATCATTAAAGTATACTTCCCAAGGACTTCAGTTTTAAATATCTCCTACTAGTTCTAACAGCCTTTTTTTTTGCAAGCGAAAATTACAGTTTGTTTATATATTTTCTGAGTGTCCTTTATTGTTGTAATATATTGGTTGTCTTTGCCCTCATTCTTCAGTAGTTCAGTTTTGCAGAGTGCTCTGTTAAGACATAAAAGAGAGACACTTAAAAATATTTATAAAATTTTCTTACAGCTGTGAAAAAACTGCAATTTTTTTTCTAAATTCAAATGTCAAAACTGTAAATTTTTTGTCTCCACAGTACTTGTCTGAAATAAGACACTGCTGTGACCATTTTTTTCCTTATGAAAGTTATTGCTTCTTTCTATGATTTTTGTCTGATCCAAGGATCAGGGTCATTAATATATAAAAAAATTCAAATTTCAAATTGTTATAAAATCCTGGGCTTAGCATCCTACTGGTTTAGGTTATTATTTTACCAGATTCTTAGAGCAGGGAGTCAGGGCCAATTACAAATGGAGTTCCTAGAGAAATACATTGAACATTACAGATTGCTTAATAGAAGAGTAAAAACCATGCATTTTGCTTTCACTCTCCTAATTATCATTGCAATATTTCCTATGTGTGCTTTTCCTGCTGAGTAATCCTAAATTCTGATGTGTTTGCAAAGCAAAGTATTTTTTTTGTTTGATTGAGTATTTTTCCATTTTGTGAAGGTTAAATCTCAGGTATTGTTCTGCAGCCACTTTGTTCAGCTTTTTTATTTTTATTCTAGTTGCAAAGACTTCAGTACCTTTTACTTTAAAAACCTTTGATATTAAAAAGTAATGTAACTGAAATGCTTAAGTTACAATTCCCCCCTTTATGTTCCAAGGAAATAGATGCATAAAATTGTAAAACTATAGAAATACCATAAAAATGAGTGTATTTTAGATGTAGAATAAGACTGTATGAGAATAGAGATATTTGTTTCTTTATCCCCCATGTTCCAGTAGGCATGCTGAGTCTCAAAGAAAAAAAAGTTTAAATGTTGGCAAATATAAAAGGAAGAGTGTTAGCCAAATGAATTTTGGATGCATTGTACTTTGACTGTTAGGTCCACACTTCTGAGATTTAAAAATTGTAATGGATTATATTATCAATTTTCAAAATTTTTTTTAACAAATACAATAAAATAGCATCTTACTTTATTTTCATGAACTATATGTATTCATATTATATACACCAGGGAATTCAGTTTGTATTGTAAACTGAGTAATCTTGACACTGATTCAATCATTCGCTTGGAAAATGTGAATACTGAGTATTTGTCTTGCCTGAGTCAAAATAAGCTCTGACTGTCCTAAAAATTATTACTTGCATCATATTTTGGGCTTCTGTTGTTCATGTATTTACATGTGTTTCATTACATTCATGTAATATTTAAAATGTGAATTTGAATTGTATTTAAATTTACAAATTTTATTCTGGCTTTTGCTTTGATGTAAGATGTAAGATTAATTAATGGAAGTGTGTCAGGTTGCATTTTTGCATTTTTGGTAAGGCTGATGTAAAAAGTTTGCAAACATTCTCTATGGCTGAAAGAACAGCATTGCAAACTACCTAGAAATTTGAAGATGAAGCTCATTTGTTGTTTTTTTTTTCCCAGTGTGACATTTCATAGGCAAACTGATGAAGATACATGAAAAGTTACTTAAACTTGTGATATTAAGCGATAGACTCCATCATGCCACATAAAATATTACTTATTTGAAATAAATATACCCTTGGAAACAGTAGTAATTTTTAAATTGTTTGTAGAAAATTACTGCTCCTGAAGATCTGAATAATTAAGGAGTGGTTCCCGTGTTGCATGACATCTTGTCTGGAGCCTGGATCTAGTTAATGTAGTAACTGATTTCTGTGCCTAGTAGGCATCACTAGATTTGGCAAACACATCCTTTTGCTCTCACTGTGATCATCATTTTCTTTCCATCTGAAAGCACTGGCTGTTCAAGCATTTTTTACTTGGAAAGAATAGTAATGGGCAAGTGGGAGAGTATTTTTTAAAGAAAACCTGTGTTTGGAAAAAAACTTATTTCAATATAGTAGAAAGGCAATGTCTCTATTTGTTACTATAAATCCTTAAGTATTGCATAAATTAATGATGCCCTATTTCTTGGATGTAGCAAATGTTAGAGCATTATTTATTATTCTAAAAGACCAGAAAACTATCCATCTTTTTCTATATATATTCACTTTTAAAGGAAGATGCCTTTAGAAATTCACACTTCTGTGCAGGAGTTTTTGTTAAAATGAAACCCTGAAATGAAGGTTATGTGAATTTTCAGCACCTTTATTGGCAGCCTAAAGTTTTCAGTGAATGTTCCTGAGGATTTTTAGAAGATGACTTCTGGACTATTAGTGTCATTTGTAAAAA